GTGTGTGTGTGTGTGTTACACAGAGGAACGGTATTGGAGTGGAGTAACATATAAGAAGAGTCGAGGTAGGGGACCTACACGTGTGCGAGAGAAAAGGATGGAGAAAGATTTGGAGGTAGAAAAGCGGAAGCCATGGTTTGTGACCCAGGAAGATACTGATGAGATTGCAGACTGAAGAAATTGGCAGAGATTTGGCATGGATGTGCCAGAGGCATAGATGGTTAAATCATCGATATATAGTGATGACCAGGATCCTGGTGGTAGAACTGAGGCAATGTCATCAACAGCAAGAAGGAATAAAGTGGTATTGAGCACACTGCCTTGTGGGACGCTTTCAATCTGAGGAAAGAAGGATGATGTGGCAGAGCCAATTTTGACCTGGAAAGTCCGTTGGGAGAGGAAAGACTTTATGAAGACACCCATGTTTCCACGTATGCCTAGAGAGGACAGTTGTTGGAGAATATGGTACCGCCATGTAGTATCATATGCTTTAGTTGTGAGTTAGTGTGATGGGGCGATCGTCTTGAGGAGGTCACCCGATTTATTGGGTTTCAGGAAGGGGAGGATAAGGGCTTCTCGCCAAAGAGAAGGAAAATTTCCTGATGTCCATATCTGATTGTAAATTGTTAATAGGAAGGATAAGGAGGAAGATGGGAGTTGCCGGAGCATACGGTAGTGAATACCGCCAGGGCCTTCATGAGTGAAGAAAAAGGAACATTATAGGACTCGGTGGAGGATGGGGTGAAGATAATGGGGGTACGTTCCCTGATGGTCTTGATAGAAGAGAAGTTTGGAGAAAGGTGAGAACCACTACTGATCTGGCTGAAACAATCACCCAGTTCATTAGCGACTTGGAGAGGATCAGAGATGAGGGTATCTCGAATGTGGAGGACAGGGGCTGGGTGGGGGGGGGGTGCCTTGATAGTTTATGGATCCGGCACCAAACATTTGAGATAGTTGTAGAGGAGGTAATTGAGGAAATGTAATTTTGCCAGCAATTTGTTTTACTATTCCGGATTGTACGACGAAGACAGGCGGATGCTCTTATAAAGGAGATAAGGGCTGATAGTTGCTTTGGGGTACATCGTTTATAGCGGTAACTGTTCCAGGCTGCACGTTTTAAGCGAAGTGTTTTAGTGCAATCAGAATTCCACCATGGAACACATTTGGAGGTATAGGGTCTTGAGGTTCGAGGAATAGCTGTATGGACAGCTCTTAGGACTGTAGTTGTGAAACATTGTATCATTTCTGAAATGGATGAGAGGGAGGATGGAGGGATATGAATAGCAGAGAGTGAAGTGAAAGTAAGCCAGTCGGCTCTATCAAAGCACCAGCGTGGGGAGTTAGGAAGTGGTATATATGAAGTAGGAGAAAGGAGAGCTGAAAAGTGGTCACTATAGGGAAAGTGGTCTAGAACTGACCTACTATGAGGAAAGGTGGTTGAAGTTGGGAAATTAGATCTTCAAAAGCAAAAGTGGAGAAGTAAGAATCACTGTGATCCAGTGGCGAAGAAAGATGCGAATAACTGTGCAAAGGACAGTGGTTTGAAAGGGAGGTATGACATAAGGTATTTTCTGGTTGATAAGTATGGACGAGACATAAAGGGAGTGTGGGGAAGAGACAAAATGGTAATTGGGGATTGGTATAGGAGGACGTGTAAGAAGAGTCTCTTGAAGTCATATAATGGATGGGTTATAAGAGGAAATGGTTAATGGTTAATGGTTAAAAGCAAGATAAATGTGCTAGACATCTAAGGTCATGTAGCACTATAGTTAATGTTAGTGAAGGGTGGTTGAGTTAGTGATTAGTTGTCTAAGCTGGGCAAAGGAATTGGTGAGTGAAAGGGTTAAAGGTCGGGTGTTAGATTAAAGTATGGACGAGACATAAAGGGAATGTGGGGAAGAGACAAAATGATAATTGGGGATTGGTATTGGAGGATGTGTAAGAAAGGTTTCTTGAAGGCATACAAATGGATGGGTTATAAGAGGAAAGGATATGGCGAAGGTCAGGTCTGTGGGAGCGGAAACCGCGAATATTCCAATGAAGGATAGTTATACTTTCGTTGATTTAGTGATATAGATTGCAGTACGTGTTGGAGAATTTGAAGGGGAAGCAGCTAGAGGGTGGGATAAGGACTGAGAGGTTTGAGATGGGAGAGGTGTGGGAGTTGGTGTTCTATCAGGAGGGGTATTAGGAGATGGAGGGTCTGAGGAAGGGGATACTTGTGACATAAGGGATTCACGTGTGTATCCAGGAGGGAGTGGAAGGGATAGAGGGGATGGTGGGAGGGTTAATGTGGGCGGGGTTGGGGTCAGGGGGGATGGGCTGTGTTGGGAGGGGGTAGGAGGATAGGGTGTAGGGGGATATCGTTAGGAGGAGGATGGATATCAGCAATTACTTGGAGTGTGGAAGGAGCAGGGGTTGTAGGTTGAGTGTCAGTTTTCATTAAGTAATCTTGAATATTTTCAATAGTTTCTTCTGTGGAGTTGGTTGGGGAGTTTTGGGGGTTAATGGTTAATGGTTAAAAGAAAGATAAATGTGCTAGACATCTAAGGTCATGTAGCACTATAGTTAATGTTAGTGAAAGGTGGTTGAGTTAGTGATTAGTTGTCTAAGCTGGGCAAAGGAATTGGTGAGTTAAAGGGTTAAGGTCGGGTGTTAGATTAGATAAAGAATATGTATGCGTTTGAGGAAAGAGAACAGGTTGTTGATGCAGAAAGTGTGGGATTCTGTAAGGATGTCTGATAGGTTGGGAGGTCGGTGAAGGGAGGATAGGTGGGGAAAAGCAGAGGTACGGGCTGCTTCAAAACGTGGGCACGACAATAGGATGTGTACGATTGAAAGGGGAACATTACATAAGGAACATAGGGGTGGATCAGATTGTGACATCAGATAGGAGTGTGTTCGACGGGTGTGGCCAATGCGTAAGCGGGCGAGAGCAGTCTCCCAACGTCTGTTCCGATGAAATGGAGCTGACCAGGAGGAGATTGATAGTTTTACAGAATGTAATTTATTAGTGTGGAGGCTTGACCAAAAAGATTGCCATCGTTTATACAAGAAGGTCTTAAAGTGTGGGTAATAATCCGTGGCTGGGATACGTGAGAAGCGTGGTTGGTATGATGTGGACATAGCAGCGTGGCGTGCTAGTGTATCTGCCTGTTCATTGCCGGGGATTCCAACATGGCTGGGCACCCAGCAGAATTTGATTGTTTTATGGCGTGTGGACAGGTAGAACAACCAGTTCTGGATCTTACAAACAAGGGGGTTGGTGCTGTGCATTGACTTTATGAGAGTTAATGAGCTACGGGAGTCAGTAAAAATTGTAAGAGAGGAAGAGGAGAGTGAGTATATGTGTTTTAGGGCAAAAAGGAGTGCATACAGTTCTGTAGTAAGGACACTGGATTCAGGAGGGAGTATTTGAAAGTACGAGTTGGGAATATTACTGCAAAACCAGCACCAGAGGTGGATTTGGAGCCATCAGTATATACGTGTATACTAGAGGAATGGGTGGAGACATGGTCAAGGAAATGGATGAGAAGGACAGTAGGAGGAATATTTGATTTGGTGGGTCGGGGAAAACAGAAGAGCAAATATGGGGGTGAGGTATAAGCCATGGAGGGACGGAATGGACAGAGAACGGGAGAGGTTGGAGATGGGGGAAAGGGGAATGGGAGAGGAGGGTATCCATGCGAGTGGAGAAAGGAGTTGGTAAGGGGTGTGGAGATGAAGCTAAGGTAAGAAAGGTAGTTATTGTGGATAGTTAGTTAAGTGAGGAAGTTGTGGAAACGAACAGACCATCGGAGAGAGGAAGGGCATGACTCGATATAGAGCATGGTATGCCTGATTCAGTATACAGGCTCCAACTGTAGAGGAGCGGAAGGCGCCTAGTGCTAAGCGAATACCACAGTTGATGGATTGTGTGTGTCCAAGACTGGGCGAGAGAGAAGTTGAGGCAGAAGGAGAGATATGCATCCATAATAA